GATAGATAGATAGATAGATAGATAGATAGATAGATAGATAGATAGATAGATAGATTCTTAGCATAAACACATACCCGTCCTCAACAATACCATCAGTAGAATCCACGGTCTCCGAATTCCGCTGAAATAGCTTGAGGAACATCATTGTCCCTAGGGGACGTGTATATTATCACCAATCTATACGTCCGTACCAACATGACCTACCACTACCGGTGTCTTCCCAAATCGGCACAAAACATGGTGCAAACAGCCAGCGAGATAGGGTAGCAGAGACAGTCACAAGGAGGTTTGCTAAGGTCCATGGAGAGTCTCTAAAGGGGGGAATTCAATCATGCGGTGATTACTCTTTTCTCTCGTCCTCTCGTGATCTACTGAGTGGGACAATCTAGAAGTGGCGGTGAAAGCGAAAGGCTGTATAATAAGGCGGTGCCGGAACTTAGGGTTAGGGAAAGTGAGGGAGAGGGGGGGCGACGACTATGTATTGTTCGTTGTTTATGAGAGATCAGTAGTGATAGAAAGGGAAGTGTGTGTCTGTGTGTGCGTGTAGGGTGGAGGCAGCGGGGAGAGAAAGAGGGAACACTAACATTCCAGTGTGTGCTTGTGTGTGTATCTGTGTGTGTGTGTGTGTGTGTGTGTGTGTGTGTGTGTGTGTGTGTGTGTGAGAGTGTGTGCGTGCGTGTGTATGTGTGTATGTGTGTACGCGCGCGTGTGTGCGCGCTCGTATGTGCGCGTTCGCAGTGCGCATAATAATATACCCGAAGAGGGTTGATTTTGTAGTTTGTGTATATTGTGTGTCGGTCTGCCATTGTATGCGTGTCAGAAGTGCATGTTGTGGTGTGCGCTTAGTTCGAGAGAGTGCCAGAGAGGGCATTTGACCGGAGAAGAAAAAGGTGAGGGGGGGGGGATAATTTGACTGGAAGAATAAGAAGAAAAAGTAGGGTGGGATAGGGAGGGGGAGAAGGGGAGGGGATAATGGAGATAAGAGACAAACGCTGATAATAGTATGCTTAACGCGCCTCGTACCAACCAGTCTTTACATTTCCAATAGCTTTGAATACCAAGTCCCCGCCGCTATAAAAACACCGCTATAAAAACACAGGACCAAAGATTTACTTTGTGGATTCGTACAAGAGTCAGTGCGTGACGACTAACCAGATCAGACAGACCACACTACTGACCATACAACCGTCGCTTGACGAGTGCGTCTAGAAAATTGCAATCTCAATGTTATTGCAGTGGGCGTCGTGCATGTGAGTGCGTGTGTGAAAGTGAGCGCGTGTTTGAGAGTGCGTGTACGGTACGTGCGTGTGCGTGTGAGCCAGTGAGTGTGGACGAGTGCAAATATGTGCGTGTGAGTGACTGAAGGAGTCAGAGGGGAAAGAGAGAGAGAGAGAGAGAGAGAGAGAGAGAGAGAGAGAGAGAGAGAGAGAGAGAGAGAGAGAGAGAGAGAGATAGAGAGCATAAAGTAAGCCTGTTAAAAGACAACATCTATAAAAATCATACGGTGCACCGCCAGTCCTTTAGTGTTTGTTATTTCAACTTTATTTTATTAATTTAAAAAAAAACATATTGATTTTGTGAGAGTTCAGACTCCACGGTAACTCAATTACATAACATTGTAAAATATTTTTTAAATCGAGGAACTCGTCCCCGTGAAGACAGATACACCATAAACTCCAAAAGGCCAACATCATTAGTGAAGATGTTTGTGTGTTGCTGTTTATCATTGGAATGGTTGCACCCAAGGCTATCTGACTGAGTTACTGAGATAGCCTTGGTGGCACCCCTCACCGATATGTAGCTGATTTATTTTAAACTGTCCAGTCCACTGAAAAGGGTAGAGGGTTGTGGAGGGGGGGGGCACGCTGTCTGATATAAATAAAACGAATGTGAAAGAAAAATGACACACCAGTGTTACAGTTTGTCAAGCTGGTTTAATCTTAAATGCAATAGTAAAGAATCTAACAAAATATACAATCATTTGAATACATCACATTTAAAAAAATGCAAAGTCTGTGAAATAATATGGCCACACTTAGGGACAAATAGTTTCCATTTCTTCAAAACTAATTTGACCTGTGTGTGTGTGTGTGT